TGTTATCTCTATAGTAGTCCTGAAAAAAAAATCAGAAACATTTACCTAATCCTAATCCACCTTCCTTACTTATTCAATTTGTTTCTTTCTTGTCTTCATCCTCTCTCACCCATACACAACAACTCTCGACATCGTAATCTATTGTTTTTCCTCTGTTCATTTATGTTTTTCACCTTAATAACAAAATAATTGATGATGTTAATTGATTTTTTATTGAAGGGCTGTGTTACTTTTTCTCTTATGTATGTTAGCAAATCCATATATATATATATATATATATATATATATATATATCAAATGTTATATAATTGATTTATTTTAATAAATAATTGTTATGCCAACAACTAAAATAGCATGTAAGATATTAATTTTGAGAGAAATTAAGATTTTTTTCAACTTAAACCTCATATTATAAATATTAATTCTTACGTTACATAGAATATTCATAAATTATAATAAAATTTTGTATTACTATTAATTTTTTAATAAAATGTTATAAGTATAGTTTTTTAGAAATTATTAAATTAAAATGGCGTGTTTTATTGTTTAGACAATATAGTCAACAACCATCTAATTGATTGTTATGCTTTCTTTAAAGAAGAAAAAATAAAATAAAAGATCAATGACTAAAGACAATTGTTTCCTTTTTGAAGGTTTATATAGTCAAACGTTTGAATCATATATTTGAATAAAAAATACATTAGAACATCAAAATCAATGATATAAAACTAATACAAAGCATACCCTAAGTAGTGATAGAAAAAAATGGTTTGTAAGTCTTAAACCTCAAACTATCCATCTTATATAATGTTTCAAATTACACTTACCGCATTGATAAAGATTGATAGAAATATTTAATTCACAAATCCTTAGTATATATACAAGAAAATACCAAAAAGAACTTGAAAAATAAATTATATTAAAAAACTATTTTAAAATAAAAATAATTATTATCTCAAGGTATCCTTGAAATTTGACATTTTACCTATGCTCACACGACCAAACCTAATAGTATTCAAATGAAAATTTTATTAAAAAGAATTAAAAATTAAGAACAAAAACATGAAGATCATACCAAACTCATAATAAAAATAAAAATTACACTTCACAAATAAGATCTATTATTGAAAAATATTTTAAATAAATATATGGAAATTACCTATATTGTTTTCTATAAAGAAAAGTCTAAATGAGTAACTTATACGTGTAATAATTTTCTTCTGAACTCTATTAAAGATTTCGCGGTAAGTTTAATTTCAAATATTATATATAAGATAGATAATTTGAGGTTTAAGACCAAATAATTATTTTTTTAAAACTGTAATTTCTGATGAAAATTAGTCAGTAATGGTAAATAGTTATTGATAATGGATATTTATCAATAAATTTTCGACGGTTAAAAATTCGTCGGTAATTATCGACGGATAAAGGATTATTGGTAATTATCGACAACAATTATCAGCAAATAAAAGTTGTCGATAATTATCAACGATAATTACTGACTGTTGTAATCTTTCAATAATTACAGATAATTCGAGGTTCTAGATAATTATTGAAGTATTATGATCGTCGATAATTATTGAAGGATTATGGTCATCGATAATTCAAGTATACGAGGTGATGAATTTATTCGTCAATAATGACCAACACAGGTTGAAATGCTATTAGTAACATTTCTTACCCACTACAATAGACCTTTCAATAAAGCACTCAATGCATTCAAAATTCTTAATTCAAACAAGTAATTAATATCATGAAACATCAAACATGAATTATATAGGTTTGATATTATTATTGATCCCAATTTTTATCAATTTTATTCGAAATAAAGCACATACATATAAGAAAAGATTTTTATTATTGTAAATACATTAATGCTATGGAATAAGCTTTTCCTGTGATGTGGACACGTCTCATTAAACAAGAGTTATAAAAAGAGAGGGAAGCGATTGAAAGAAAATGTGAAAATATCGAAGTTAAAATATAAATTGATTATTTTCTTATTATTTTTCTTTTAGTGGCAAGTATTTAATGTATTTTATATTTTGTAGATATTAGGTAAAATGTAGAAAAACTAACAGGTACTCACGGAATTTCAACGCCCAAAGTATTGTTCTTCCATTAAAAAAGGTAAAATTGTTGTCGAAGCGGATCGAAAATTCTATAAATAGGAAGCAGGCCATGGCAAACAATACAAACACTTAACAGACAATAAACTATAAAGCCATGGAAGCTGAAGCCAACTTCTTGGTTATTGTCATATCTCTCTTCTTTCTATGGAATTGGTTTGCAAAATATTACAAGCTAAAAGCTAACGACTCTCACAAACTACCCCCTGGTCCAAAGAAGCTACCTTTCATAGGCAACCTGCATCAACTATCAGGAGCAGGTTCACTTCCACATCGTGCTTTCTACAAGCTTGCTCATATATATGGACCTCTCATGCACCTCCAACTTGGTGAAATTTCTACAGTGGTTGCATCCTCGCCCGGCTTGGCCAAGGAAATAATGAAAACAAATGATACTGCTTTTGCGCAGAGACCTCAATTTGTTTTCGGTGACATTTTGTCCTATGGAGGAAAGAATATTGTTTTTGCTCCATATGGTGATTACTGGAGACAAATAAAAAAAATATCTGTGTTGGAGCTTCTAAGCGCCAAAAGGGTCAAGTCTTTCTCTTTCATCAGAGAAGAGGAGACGGCAAAGTTTATAGATTCAATTCGAAAATCAGCAGGTTCACCCGTCAATCTTACTGCTAAAATTTACTCCTTGATGAGTGATTTTGTTTTCAGGGCAGCTTTTGGTAGAAAATATAAGGACCAAGAATTTGTTGTGCCTCTGATGCGAAGAGTAATAGAAGAAGCGGCAGGATTTAGTTTTGTCGATCTCTTTCCTTCGTTGAAATTCATACATTTCATAACTGGGAAGAGGGCAAAATTGGAGCAGCTGCAGAAGCAGGTTGACAAGGTATTGGATAACGTTGTGAAAGAACATGAAGAAAAACGAAAAGAGGCAAAAGAAGACGGCGTTGAAGTGGAGGATGAGGATTTTGTCGACGTTCTTCTCAGAATTCAACAAAATGACAATCCCGACTTCAAGATGACGACGACACAAATCAAAGCTTTGATATTGGTTAGTAAACACTTGTCTCCTAAATCTACCTTAATATATGTGAGAGTACGTGTTTATCTCCTTGTTTTTTGAATATTTGATCGAAGGATATATTTGTGGCGGGAACTGATACTTCAGCGTCAGTATTAGACTGGATAATGGCAGAAATAGTGAAAAACCCAAGAGTGATGGAGAAAGCACAAAGCGAGATAAGAGAAGCATTTAGAGAAAAGGAAAGAATTGGTGAAAGTGATGTAGAGGAGCTTAATTATTTGAAGTTGGTGATGAAAGAAACGTTGAGGTTACACCCACCAGCTCCTTTGTTGCTCCCTAGAGAATGCAGTGAAGTAAGAAAGCTTGGTGGATACGAAATACCGAAAAAGACGAGAGTTATGATAAACGCATGGAGTATTGGAAGAGATCCTGAATATTGGAGTGATGCTGAGAGGTTTATACCAGAGAGATTCGAAGGTAACTGCGTGGATTTCAAAGGGAATAACTATGAGTATGTGCCATTTGGGGCAGGAAGGAGAATGTGCCCAGGCATGGCATTTGGTTTGGCAAGCATTATGCTTCCGCTGGCTCTCTTACTCTATCACTTCAACTGGGAACTACCAGATAACATGAAAGCTGAGAATATGGATATGGCTGAACACTTCGGAGTCGTTATTAGTAGGGAAAACCAGTTGCTTTTAATTCCCTCTCTTTATCATCCCTGACTTCATCTTTATCAGCTCCTATCAAAATTAAACCTCCTGCTTTATACCATATTAATCCACCATCTATGTCCATCTATGTATTGGCTACACAGTTTCGTATTATTAAATTATTACTTTTAAAAAATATATATACAGTAATACAAGCTACTTATTTTGTAATTTTCTTTTTATATAATTCTCTTTCTCTCTCTATTTATATATCCAGCTCATCAGCTTAATATCAAAAACTCAATTTTTACAAGGTAACAAACCTATACTTAAATTTTAGCTGTATTATTGTTAATAAATATGACATCGTCGATCGATATATTGTTGTTACATTTGAACATCTTAATGAACTTTGTAGAAACTAATATTAATAAATTCAATTTGCTCCCATTAAAAAGTAGAATTTTGAATTGTTTTTTAGTTATTTCCTTGCTAATCACTCACTTTTACGTATAGCTTTAAGATGCTTGTTTTATAGAATAAAATTTTAAAATAAGTAGATTTTAACCAAGCGCACACAAAGGAGGCTTTTTACATTTTTAAAATGAATGTATGCAATAAATTATTTTTGTTCTAGAAGTCTAAATTTAGAGATTATAAATCTTCTCCCGATCATTTTTTTCTCTTTTTTATATTATTTTTTCTCCTAGACTGATTTTTTTTCATTCACATATTTCTCTTTCATCCAATGAAAAAAAAATTATCTCACCAAACAATTTTTTCAAATTAAAGTCATTATTATTGGCTTAAACAATGTTAAATTAAATAAATTTTAAAATAAAACACATTGAATAAACTGTTCTAAATAAAATCAAGTTAATAATTAATAATAAGTTAGTCTCGACTTAATGAATACTAGTTAAAATTAACCTTCAAAAGTTAATACTATTTCATTAGAGTTGATTTTTATAATTCACTGCACTGCAAATTTGATACTATCATAATTAATTAGTGTCAATTTGTTATCATTGTCTTTATCCAATGTTAAATATCTAGTTTTTTTACAGTAATGGAATTAAGGAAAAAAAGTTTGTCTGTAAATGGCAAGAACAATATTTTACTTGTGAAATTAGACTATTATTAAGTGCGATTTGAATAGTCACCAGACTTTTTGTGTGCATGGTGTAAGCAGAAACAAAGTTTCTCCAGTGAAATTATAAACTATGTTATGTATTTCAATTAAAAGGATAGCACATGTAGTTGAATAATCATCTCCTTTCCAGAATGTGCCTCTTCTTCTTGCAAATAATATTCGGAAAGTTAAATGAATAATAAGTAAAAGTGGACTGAGCATTAAGGCGTGTAAAATCAATTAGTACAAAAATCCCAAGTCCTTTTATATGTGTTAAATTTGAACATTAAGCTCTGAAAACTATGGACTCCATCATTTGAATCAATTCAAGTCATAGATTCTTCAGAGAAGATAAGTAAAATGCAGAGATTCTATTATGAATAAAATGGTCCTGTCAATTAACAGCTTAATAGATAATTTTTCAGAGACTATACCCAACACGTTTTCTAATTTCATGGATTAGGTTGTTGATTAGACTCTTCTATTATTCTTTGGTCGTTCGGTTTTATGTTGATAATCGTTCGGTTTGTTCTGGTCCTTTGTGACTGAACGTTCTCTTATGATCGTTCGGTTTTGTAGATTCGATTTTGGTTCGTATGTTTCTTTTTTCAGTCTTTGTTATACTCGACCTTCGGTCAGTTTTTTCTTAAACGACTGTTCGTCTTTCTGTTGTTTGTTTTCAGTCGCTTGGATTGGCTATATATTGTAGCCTGTCATTGCGTTTTAAGAATCAATTCAATCTCGAAATATTCAGATCTTTTTTTCTCTCTGTGTTTTCTCTTCTTTCTTCTTTGGGTTTTTCTGTTTCTCCGTTTCACACTCGAACTCAACAATTGGCACCCACCGTGGGGCTGTGAATCAAGAAACTCCAGAAGCGACGACAACCAAGTTCGACATTGAGAAGTTCAATGATTCTAATGATTTCGGGCTGTGGAAGATCAAGATGGAGGCTATCTTGATACACCAGGGATGCGATGAAGCGTTGAAGGGTGAGTGGAACATGGGTGCTGCAATGTCGCAAGAAGAGAAGAAAAGAATGGTGGATAAAGCAAGAAGTGCAATCATACTGTGTCTGGGTGATAAGACGCTGAGGGAGGTTGTGAAGGAAAAAACTGTGACTGGAATATAGGCGAAGTTGGAATCTTTGTACATGACGAGATCACTGGCTCATAGGTTGTGTCTGAAGCAACAACTCTATTCGTTCAAGATGACAGATTCAAGAACCATAGAGGAGCAGCTTGCAAAATTCACTAAGATTGTTGACGATCTGGAGAATATTGACGTGAGATTGAAAGATGAGATAAAGCAGTTATTCTTCTGAATGCACTTCCAAGAACCTTCGAGCATTTCAGGGATGCCTTGCTCTATGGTAAAGATCAGGTGATCACGCTAGAGGAGGTTGTGACGTCAATATGAACCAAGGAATTTCAAAAGTTCCAAGATTCGAAGGCAACCGAGGAGGTGGCATTTGGGTTGATTTCGGTGAAAGGGAAATGGAAGAAGCGGGCTGGAAATGGGAAGAAGTAGAAGCTAGAAGGTGTGAAACAAGTGAGATGTTTTAAGTGCCAGAAGATGGGACATATCAAGAAGTATTGTCCAAAGAAGGGCAAAACCGTTCGGCCACAGGAAACTGCTGATGTGGCAGAGGCTTCTGAAGGATATGAATCTGCTGGTGTTCTGTTGACTTCGTCTGAAGATTCTCAAAGGAGTTGGGTCATGGATTCTGGCTGCAGCTATCACACGTGCCCGGTGAAGGAGTTCTTTGAGAGTCTGGATCAGAAGAAGCATGGAAATGTGCTGCTGGGAAATAACAAGGCTTGCCGAATGTAAGAAGTGGGGTCGGTAAGGCTGAAGATGTTTGATAACCGGGAGATGGTACTGCAGGATGTGAGGTATGTGCCTAAACTGAAGAGAAATTTAATTTCAATAAGTTCTTTTGATCTTGGAGGTTACACCATAAAAGTCTAAGATTAAGTGATGATGGTGTGTTCTGGAGATTCTGTGGTTGTCAAAGGTAGAAGGAAGAATGACTTGTACATTTTGGAGGGATCCACAGTCATTGGTCATGTCTCGGTAGCAAGTGGGAAGACTAAGAACACTGCTCGGCTTTGGCACTTAAGGATGGGTCATATCAATGAGAAGGTTCTTGAAGAATTGGAGAAGCAAGGCTTACTTCTGGGTGATAAACTGCAGAAGCTGGATTTTTGTGATCATTGCGTCTTGGAGAAATCACACAGGATACCGTTCGGTTAAGGGAAGCACTTAACGAACGACCATTTGAGTACGCTCATACTGACTTGTGGGGACCTGCAAGAACTCAGACTCATGGTGGAGGAGCGTATTTCCTTAGCATCATTGATGATTTTTCAAGAAGAGTGTGGATTTACGTTCTGAAGAATAAATCTAAAACTTTTTAGAGATTCAAGGAGTGGCATACATAGACCGAGAACCAATTGGGGTGTAGGCTGAAATGTTTGAGAACTGACAATGGTCTGGAGTTTGTTTTAGAGGAATTTAATGAGTTCTGCAAGTTTAAAGGGATCAGGAGGCACAAGACTGTAGTGGGAACTCCTCAACAGAATGGTCTGGCTGAAAGGATGAACAGAACAATTCTGGAGAGGGTTCGGTGCATGCTACTTGGATCAAGGTTATCAAAGGCTTTCTGGGGATAGGCTGCCAATACAGTCGTATACTTGCTTAACAGGAGTCTGTCTTCGGATCTCAATCACAAAACACCAATGGAAGTTTGGAGTGGACGACCGACTGATTACTCAAACTTGAGGGTGTTCGGTTCTTTGGCATTTGCTCAT